AATGTGTCATACTATATAAGGTCATGTTATTATGTGTCATACTACTGATAAGGTCATGTTATAATGTGTCATACTACTGATAAGGTCATGTTATAATGTGTCATACTATATAAAGTTGTGTTATAATGTGTCATATTATATAAGGTCATGTTATTATGTGTCATATTATATAAGGTCATGCTATAATGTGTCATATTATATAGGGTCATGTCATAATGTGTCATACTATATAAAGTCATGTTATAATGTCATACTATATAAGGTCATGTTATAATGTGTCATACTACTGATAAGGTCATGTAATAATGTGTCATACTACTGATAAGGTCATGTTATAATGTGTCATACTATATAAAGTTGTGTTATAATGTGTCATATTATATAATGTCATGTTATTATGTGTCATATTATATAAGGTCATGCTATAATGTGTCATATTATATAGGGTCATGTCATAATGTGTCATACTATATAAAGTCATGTTATAATGTCATACTATATAAGGTCATGTTATAATGTGTCATACTACTGATAAGGTCATGTAATAATGTGTCATACTACTGATAAGGTCATGTTATAATGTGTCATACTATATAAAGTTGTGTTATAATGTGTCATATTATATAATGTCATGTTATTATGTGTCATATTATATAAGGTCATGCTATAATGTGTCATATTATATAGGGTCATGTCATAATGTGTCATACTATATAAAGTCATGTTATAATGTCATACTATATAAGGTCATGTTATAATGTGTCATACTACTGATAAGGTCATGTAATAATGTGTCATACTACTGATAAGGTCATGTTATAATGTGTCATACTATATAAAGTTGTGTTATAATGTGTCATATTATATAATGTCATGTTATTATGTGTCATATTATATAAGGTCATGCTATAATGTGTCATTATATAGGGTCATGTCATAATGTGTCATACTATATAAAGTCATGTTATAATGTGTCATACTACTGATAAGGTCATGTTATAATGTGTCATACTATATAAGGCCTTCTTATGATGTGTCATACTACTGATAAGGTCATGTTGTAACGTGTCATATTATATAAAGTCATGTTATAATGTGTCATAATATATAGGGTCATGGTATAATTTGTCATACTACTGATAAGGTCATGTTATAATGTGTCATATTATATAAGGTCATGTTATAATGTGTCATATTATATAAGGTCATGGTATAATGTGTCATATTATATAAGGTCATGTGATAATGTGTCATACTACTGATAATGTCATGTTATAAAGTGTCATATTATATAAGGTCATCTTATAATGTATCATATTACTGATAAGGTCATCTTATAATATGTCATATTATAAAAGGTCATGTGATAATGTGTCATATTATATAAGGTCATGTTATAATGTGTCATATTATATAAGGTCATATTATAATGTGTTATATTAGATAAGGTCATGGTATAATGTGTCATATTATATAAGGTCATGTTATAATGTGTCATACTACTGATAATGTCATGTTATAATGTTTCATATTATATAAGGTCATGTTATATTGTGTCATATATAAGGTCATGTTATAATGTGTCAAACTATATAAGGAAATTTTATAATGTGTCATATTATATAAGGTCATGTTATAATGTGTCATATTATATAAGGTCATGTTATAATGTGTCATACTACTGATAAGGTCATGCGTATTTTGTGTCAGACTATAAAATATAAGGTTACAATGTGTCATACTTTCTAAGGTCATTTTAAAATGTGTCATATTATATATAAAGTCATGTTATAATGTGTCATTCTATATAAGGTCATGTTATAATGTGTCATATTACTGATAAGGTCATGTTATAATATGTCATACTATGTAATGTCATGTTGTAATATGTAATGCTTAAGAGCATGCTATAATGTGTCATACTATAAATGTCATGTTATAATGTGTCATACTATATAAGGTCATGCTATAATGTGTCATACTACATAAGGTCATGCTATAATGTGTCATACTACATAAGGTAATGTTTTAATGTGTCATAATATATCAGGTCATGTTATAATATGTCATACTATACAGTTATGTTTCAATATGTCATAAGATATGAAGTAACATTTCAAGGAATCATACTATATACTTTATAACGTCATACCATATATTGTCATGTTATGATATGCCATATGATATATAGTGACGTTACAATGTTTCAAGCCATATATCGTCATGTTACAATGTGATATCCCATATATTGTGATGTTGAAAATTTCATACCATATATGGTCAGGTTATAATGCGTCATACCAAATAAAATCTAGTGATAATGGATCATACTTTATATTGCTACCTGGTAAATGTTTTGTGTGAATTCTCTGTAATCTTATCAAGTATGACCTAGTTACTATGCAACCATGTACATGTAGCTATGTAACCGTGCCCTGTATGACATGGTCTTTATGTAACCGTACTCTGTATGACATGGTTACTATGTAACCGTAACCTGTATGACGTGGTTTCTATTTAACCGTACCCTGTATGCCATGGTTATTGTGTAAACGTACTCTGTATGATGTGGTTTCTATGAAACCGTACCCTGTATGACATGGGTACTATGTAACCGTACTCTCTATGATGGGGTTTCTATGTAACCGTACCCTGTATGACGTGGTTTCTATGTAACCGTACCTTGTATAACATGGCTACTATGTAACCGTACCCTGTATGATGTGGTTTCTATGAAACCGTACTCTGTATGATGTGGTTTCTATGTAACCGTACCTTGTATGACATGGCTACTATGTAACCGTACCCTGTATGATGTGGTTTCTATGAAACCGTAACCTGTATGACGTGTTTTCTATGTAACCGTACCCTGTATGCCATGGTATGTAACCGTACTCTGTATGACGTGGTTTCTATGTAACCGTACCTTGTATGATATGGTTACTGTGTAAACGTACCCTGTATGACGTGGTTTCTATGTAACCTTACCTTGTATGACATAGTTTCTATGTAACCGTACTCTGTATGACATAGTTTCTATGTAACCGTACTCTGTATGATGTGGTTTCTATGAAACCGTACCCTGTATGACGTGGTTTCTATGTAGCCGTACCTTGTATGACACGGCTACTATGTAACCGTACCCTGTATGATGTGGTTTCTATATAACCGTACCCTGTATGCCATGGTTTATATGTAACCGTACTCTGTATGACGTGGTTTATATGTAACCGTACCTTGTATGACACGGCTACTATGTAACCGTACTCGGTATGATGTGGTTTCTATGAAACCGTAACCTGTATGACGTAGTTTCTATGTAACCGTTCCTTGTATGACATAGTTTCTATGTACCCGTACTCTGTATGACATGGTTTCTATGTAACCGTACCCTGTATGACATGGTTTCTATATAACCGTACCTTATATGACATGGTTACTATGTAACCGTACCCTGTATGATGTGGTTTTTATGTAACCGTAACCTGTATGACGTAGTTTCTATGTAACCGTAACCTGTATGACGTGGTTTCTATGTAACCGTGCCTTGTATGACATGGTTTCTATGTAAGCGTACCCTGTATAGCATGGTTTCTATGTAACCGGACCCTGTATGACATGGTTTCTATGTAGCCGTACCCTGTATGACATGGTTTCTGTGTAACCGTACTCTGTATGTCGTGGTTTCTATGTAACCGTACCCTGTATGACATGGTTTCTATGTAACCGTACCTTGTATGACATGGGTTTTATGTAACCGTACCTTGTATGACATGGGTTTTATGTAACCGTACCTTGTATGACATGGTTTTTATGTAACCGTGCCTTGTATGACATGGTTTCTATATAAGCGTACCCTGTATGGCATGGTTTCTATGTAACCGTACCTTGTATGACGTGGTTTCTATGTAACCGTACCCTGTATGCCATGGTTTTTATGTAACCAGACCCTGTATGACTTTGTTATGATGTAACTGTACTATGTATTAACTGTTGAACGAGGACAAACATTCCCGACCTCCACCCCACTCCTGGTTTTTGTGCGTACCTTGTGTACTCTCGTTAATGTACCCCTGATCTTTAATGTATCCCTGATAGTGTGAAATACCTGTTAAACATCTCGTTACAGGCTTAACCTTAGTATATACGCTACCGACGGGATTACGTTATGGATCCCAGCTCAAACTTTATACAGAGATGACTCCTCAGAAAAATGGAATGTATGTGCTATATGAGAATAGGATTCCTCTTAAAGTTTCGTACTTGAGTCGATTTTAAAATAATTTCTCAGAATAGACTCATACTTGAGTTAATGTTGAAATGATTCCTCGGAAAGGTAGATACTTGAGTCAATTTAGAGATGACATTTTGCGGCAGACTAATATCCACTGTTCTGAACATACTCGATAACTCGACAGTGTGATCGTTCTGATTTCCTGTAATTTCCCTGGTCATGGAATCGCTGCCTGGGTCTGATATTTTACATTATTAATGAAACTGTAATGTATCACGGCCGTCCTATATTAACTTATAAAAATCCTGGCACCACCATATTGACTAGGTAAATAAACGACACCTTATAGATAATTATATATAAGGGATTGGCCCTTTTGCACGCGTTAGAGCTCGGCATGACCTTTGGGCTCGCCAGTGAACACGGTGTGACCCTTGGGTAGTACTCTAGGTCTCTTCTGCAGTGCAGCAAGACCATGAAGCTCAACCTGGGGATCATTATGATGTTAGGACTTAAGATAGTTTTACTGAAAGTGTTAAATACCCGATAACAATTGAATGTATTGTTCTGGTAACTCTCGTATGTAGCTTCGTTTTGACTGTACTTTATGTTAACCACGTGAATCTTCATACACATTCATACATAAACACTCGAAATTTTCGAGTTATTAAATCGAAATATCGGGTAACTAATGCTGCTCCGTACATTTACCCGATGTTTTCTTTTTTCAGGGAATCTTTCGGCCATAACCAGCCCACCTGAAGCTATGCTATCCGCCAGGTCAAGACAAGGATCTCTGACACCCATTCTGGAGAGAGCATGCGCAGTTCACCTAACTAAGAAGGTGTCCGTTGTGTGTACGACCTGTGACAATGCGTTTATCTGCACCAAGTGTATCAGCGCTGCCCACAAGGGTCACAGTTACATCGACCTGGAGGATTTCCTTGATTCAAAGGAACAGAACATCTCGGAGTTTCTAGATCTCGAAGACATCGACAACAAAATTGCAACGAAACACGAGCAAATTGAGAAACTTGCAGAGACTATATCGGAGAACAGGCTTCGCACAGACAATGTGATACAGGAGGTCAAGACCAGAGCGGATGAACTTAAGACAGAAATCGACAAAATAGCAACAGATTTAATACGGGAATGTAAGGTTCACGGCAGTAAGAATCTGAACAGTCTTGAGAAGCTTGAACAGAGCTTGACGCGCCACTTAGCATGTCTCAAGGCGGCCGCCATTAGCCACCAGAATTTGCCGCTCGACTCCTCTCCGTTTGATGACATGTTAAGGAGGGACTCTTTAAAGGAAGAATCGCAAGCGGACATCCCCAGCCTGACATCATTAATGTTCATCAAACAAGAGGAACACTCGACCATCCTAAGGACGCTGTTCGGGTCGTTAAGGTGCATCAGTGCGAATAGTCCCTCTAACGTAGCAAATCTGCCAGTAGGTAAAACGTCAATCAAGAAAGCTCTAAGCAACGGTCGTGTATTGGATACACTGACGGGCGTGGCGGATGGAAAGCACATACAGGCTATATTTCCGTGTGATGACAACGCGGCATGGCTCGTCCCAGGCAAAAGTCATCGGGTAAGACTAACGACACGAAAAGGCGAGATTATCCAGACTATCTCGCTCGAGAGGGGTGTCGTCATCAATGACATCATGCGCACAGCTGATAAATACTTAACGACGATCTGCTGTGACGATGGTTCTGTGCGTCAGATTCTGCCGAGTGGCAGAACCCAATACTTATTCTCTACCGGAATCAACATCTCCAATATTTGCGAGTTGTCTGCATCCGGGTACTTTATTGCTTGTCACTCTATCCAGCGGAAACTTGTTAAATATAACCAGAGAGGGGACATAATCGAAACAGTGGACCGGGATACCTACGGCGTCCGTCTGTTTACTAAACCTGTTCGTGTTCGAATTAACAGAAATAACGGTGACATAGCTGTGGTGGAGTGGTCATCTCCCGAGCATGTGGTCATTATGAACGAAAAGCTACAGGTGATATCCCGTTTTTTTGGTGACTCAAAACGACGCCATTCATACGGTACACACGGGTCTTTCAAAGGTCAAGGAACAAAGGAGAAAGGACACTTCGATCCAGCTGACGTCATCTTCACGAAGAACAATCACATCATTATAGCTGATGTTTGGACAAATTCTCTTGTGATGATTGATAGAAATGGGAAGAAACTTAAAACATCGTTCAAGTTTAACTTCCAGCCTCTGCGCCTCGGCCTGCAACCTAACGGCGACCTGTGGGTAGGCTCACATGACGGGCACGTGCAGATCATGAAGTTCTGATAAAGAGTAAAATGTCATGCTGATTTTAGCATTATTGAAATGAACGATGACATAGGTTCGGTGTAATTCAAGTTATTTCTTTTCTTTTTTATTATGTTACAAAATAACAAGATGCGTTCGGCGAAAGAGCAATTTCTTTTCATCGCGTTCAATTGTTTGAGCGACAAACCATGACAACTCAATGATTCAGTGTTTATTATCTATATACAGCTATCTTATATGTTTCTCCATTCATAAAAAGTCAACTCAACACCCTATTTTCCAAATCATTTCTAGCTAGAGACTCAATGATCGCTCCTCGGTCTGTGACAAACGTAAACAAATCACTTCTAGCTAGAGACTCAATGATCGCTCCTCGGTCTGTGACAAACGTAAACAAATC